AATTTGAATAAAGCAGTGAGAACCAGTTTTAGGTAACGGAACCATGGTTTGAGTGGTTCTCGTCGTTCTGAACGAAGTATGCTATTGAGCTTAGTATATAGACTTACATTCGGCTCTTCCCATTGCATCGTATATAGGTGAATAGCAGCCGATTCGTCGGGAGCAAGTCCATCTGCCGGTTTTTTTGAGTTTCGTTTGGCAGTGTCAACCATTATATCGAGATCATCGAGTTGTTCATCGATCGGCTTAATAGCTTCTTCAAGTGAGAGCAGTGGCTCCTTAGCATAGCCACGAATAGGCAGCAGAACTTGATTAGGCTCCTCGCTGGCGTCAAGAAATCGTGCATTCGAACTTTGGTTTGTTGTACTAGTCATCAGTGTGCATTCAAATTGAAAAAATGACGATAGCTTACATTCACCTTCATCTTTATATTTATGTTGATTCTACCATAGTAACATTGTCACAACAGCTCGGAGGAACAGAAACGAAAGCGCATATGTACAAGTACGAAATAGCAAAAAAACAACAACACAAATCAATGCAGGCCATCAAATTCTATTGAATAACATAGTCTTCACTGCTTGCAATACTTTTGCTACCAAACAGAACGAAAAAAAACGACAAGAAGGGCAACACTGAGCATGTTGTTATGCTGAGAAAGACGAAGAGAAAGCAGTTGCAGAATTATTTTTCACTGACCCCGTAAACAAACATCGTAAAATTCACTATAATAAAATAGGTGACAGTGAGAGCCAAGATGTGAGTGAATTGTTATGGAAGAAAGTTTCAAAGCTTCATAAGAAATATTCTGGCTTCTGGTCGACCGTCACCATACGATCAGTGGCGTAGCCAAGGGAGGGGCAAATGGGCAATTGCCCATTTCATTTGGAGATTTGCCCATTGTAATTTTTATGAATAAGTTTTTGCCCATTGAAATTTCACTTTTTCAGAATTGTTTATTTATTTTTGAATTAGATAATAACTCGTTTTCTTTTCTTCCGTCTGAATCACACATGCATTTTTGCTTGTTCTTTCTGTGAAGAATGAAGAAAAGACTCGCTTCTGGTATTTTCACCAGAGTTGCTAGATGAAAAACTTAAAAATCAGAAATTCTTGTTTTTAAAATAAGAAAAAAATCAGAATTTTTTTCTGAAATTGGAAACTAATCATAAAGAGTAACTTTTTGCAAACCAAGGACTATCATATTGCCATGCTTGCACAAAAGGCTTCACGTTTTTTTGTTTATCGGCTCATACTTTGTTTTTAAAAGCATTTCATAGTAAAGAAAAACAACACAACCATTATATAGCTTAGAGTAAAACATCATATACTGTAAGCTAAGGAGATTGATCGTAGTTGGATGAAATGAAGACTCTCACTATCAAACCAACTAATTAAAAATATGAGCTGCCAGTAGCGTACACACACCGAGAAGAAGTTTACAGTTTGTTATGTATCCTGACTACTAAATTTCGTCAACGCTTAGTTTTTTTTTTTTGTCATGGTTGGATGGGACACGACCATTTACATAAGAAAAAACAATATCATGCATATTAAAAAGCAAATTCAACGAAGTCCAAGAAATCATTTTTTTAATTATAAGGATAATAAACAAAAGATTTTAATTGCTGTCAAATTGCCCTTAAATGTGTGTGATACTGAGCCTCCTTATATAAATAGTCGTGTTTCATCCAACCATGACGAAAAAGAAAAACTAAAGGTTGATGAAATTTTGTAGTTTGGGCACATGACAAACTATAAATATTTTAAAATTTAAACAATTTTGTCTGTGTACACAATTGGCAGCTCATATTTTAAACTAGTTGTTCCGTATGTGAGAGCATTCATTTGATGCGACTATGATGAATCTCCTTAATTTGCTGTAGCATGGTCTTCAATTGTTAGTTAATACAAAAAAAAGTCAGGAAAAGACACCTAGTGTCGGATTCTTTTACAAAAACCAAAACTCTGTTTACGAAAAATATGCACAAACAAATCATATATATAAACAATGCAGATCAAAAAATCTTACGAAAAATAATAAAAGTTATAGAACATAACTTCTATATTATTTTTCAAGTTTTTCTTCGTTCAAAATTCCTTCAATAAATGTTTTTGAGCTAAAATATGTTTACAAAATCGTTCAAACAAAAAAATAATTAGCATTCACTCTTTAGCTCAGCAACGCAACAATTTACTGATATATTAAAGCACTTGGCAGTGGCTGCAGAACTCAGAAACTACAAGAGATTAAGAAAGGAAAGAAGGTAGCGGAATACGAATCTATAATATTAATGGGTTATACTCGTAATTAATCTCACTAGTACAGCCGCCATCTAAAAACGTCTGGAATTCGGCAACAAATCCGAAAAATCAAAAGATCAGAAAAAAAATCGGGAAAATGTTCAAATTTCAGAAATTTTCCTGACTTTTCAGAAGATCTAGCAAGCCTGATTTTAACTGTAAGTTTGGGTGAATGTGAGTTCGATTTTATTGGGAAAACACTATCCACGTAAACGTAGAGAAGGGAAGATCAAAAAGAAGAGAAATAAGAGAACACACACGAACATATGTATGTCTACACATATATACATATAGAGTGACGTATAGAAGAGAAAGAAGAAATTCAATGACGTATAGTTCGTAGAGAATATGTCTATGTGTGTTGTACAGATACATATTTGAAGAATCCTCAACACTAACTTATGCATGTGTTTTTTTACGTTATTAGTACTTTGTTGGGTGAAAAAAGTTTTGGCCTATCAATAAAAACCTTGCCCATCTCGCCCATTGGTTTTTTACGACACAAGAGAAGTTTGCCCATTGGTCTAAAAATCCTGATTACGCCGCTGCATACGATGGGTGTGGGTGTGGGTGTGGGTGGGGTGGGTGTGGCTGAGGGTGTGGCTGAGGGTGTGGCTGAGGGTGTGGTTGGGTGGGTGTGGGTATAGGTGTGGATGAGTGTGGGTGTGGATATAGGTGTGGATGTATTTGGGTAGGGGTGGGTGTGGATGTGGGTGTATATGAAGAAAATTATACTCACACCCACCCCATACCCTCCAGTTCTTTTCTCAAAAGTCTTCAGTTCCTAAGCAACATACTTAAGTGGTTTATTCTACATAGATGATGAAAAATTTAAAAAAAATGTTATTCTAATTGATTTTTATAAATACTGGATCAAGAGATATAAAGCCTCAAATTTGCTCAAAAAAACAAAAAAATCGTGCAGAATTTATGTGCCAATCCAACATTATATTTAAAAATAAAGTTGATCTTATTGTTTTTCTTAAAAAGAAAATGTGTTAAAGTCGATCAATAATAGATTTGACATGTATTTATCTCATTGTATAATATCATTACAAATGAAAACGAATAGAAATGTTTTCTCTTCAATCTACAGTCAATGAGAAAAATTTAAGCGAATTTGTTTTTTTCAATTTTTTTAGACAATTGTTTTTTCCATGTTTCTTTTACATTAAAAGGTACTGATTTGATTCAAATGGTGATATAGGTAGTATGAGATGTTGACTACAAGATGTACTACAGGAGTAGATAATGTCTATCTATATAGATGTTTTATAGCTAAAATCATTTACTCTAAATCAAAAATAGATTTAAGTGCTTTTCAGTATTTCGCATTTTTCGAAAATATGACTCCAATGAGTCTCAACATCTTCCATAAATTAGAACTTTAGCGTTATTTATTGAAGTAACCGAACAAAGCTCAATTTTTTATCAATACAAAGAACAATAACAAGACGTCTAGAAAAAAAAAATTGCCCACTGGCAAAGAAGACTGAATGTGGGTGTGTTAGAGAATACAAGATTAACACCCACACCCACGAATTTCATAACGCATACTTCTGGAAAGATCATTATAGTCTTCTTTTCGATAGTCTGACACATCAGTATAGATCTATTTAATCATTCTATTTTTGAATTATCTAGATAAATTTTGATTAAATCAAAACCAAATATTCCATCGACACTGTTCTTACTTTCGATTGTTAGTTGATACTCATTTATATGGTCCTCATGGTGTTGTTCATATTCTTAAACCTTCATCTCGTAGACGTGAAAATTAATATTTAATCATGTACATTTTATGTGCTGGATAATTATACAGATTCAGCGTTTTTTGTTGATTTCTTGAAAACTCCATTCTGTTACAAATTATTAGGAAAGGCAGATAACAGGTAATGTGTAAATATGGATGTCAATAATAAGTCAAATAACTTATGGATACTTTCACAGCGCCAACATTATATTAGAGATACCTTTTTACATTATTAGTCTGTGCAAGTTTTTGCGTTTTCTCTACTATTTATGGATTTTCGAGACGTAATTGTTAGGCTATTGAATAGAAATATATGAGATTATTGTTTTGTCTTGATAATAATCTCAACCTTTCATGCTGCTTCTATGAAACAACAGTTTTGGAAATCATGTTTTTGAAATTTCCAAAATGTCGAGATTTCTCTTTTCGAAAATAATCCCTTGCTCCTTGAAAAGACATGCTTCGATTTCATTGAGTGCTTAAGCTTTGTAACTGTTTACTTGAGGACTTTCTTTCCTTCATTTAACATATCAATATACTTTGATATCTTTGCGCATGAGATTCGTATCAGGACACCATATACATACATAAAATTTATCTTCTACATATATATGGAATCATTTTGAAAATCTATGGCTGACATTGACTATCAATATTTTGTCTATGTGCAAGAATTTTAACTAGATTTTATCTTGACAGCAAAAGCTAAAAAGTACAGCAAAATGATAAGGAAGTTAATATTTATTTATAAAAAAAAATGAAGAGCAAAGTTTTGTATACTAGTAATAAAACAAAACACATTGACATTGAAGAAGATACACGTATATCCATTACATAATCGAGATAAGTACTTACTTATAACAAAACAATATGTTCGTGATAGGGAGTTTTTTTCTTGCTATTCTATTATTGATTTACTATAAAATAAAATATTTTACACTTGATGGTTCTCTACCGGGGATTGTTTCCACATTTTTTCTTTGGAAATTTAATTCAATCTGGTCTTCTATTCTATGACCAATCACCTCGAGAAGTTTTTTCGACATTTCGAAAACGTTTCGGTGATACATTTCAATTTTGGCTTGATTCAACTCGTGTTATTATTGTTAACAAAATTGGTCATATTCAAGATATTTTTACTAATCGTTGTATATATAATCAAGGTGGAATATACAAGTCTTTTCTCTGATGAATTAATTTGTCTCCAAGGTGAATATTAAATATATATTATGAATTATTTTCAGACATGTTTTCTCCTATTGCCAATATTTCGTCAGAATAAAATCATTTCACATTTTTGATGTCATTATCAATTGTACTGATAAATTATTAAATCATTAGCGTATATATTCAAGTGAACATGTACATTGTGATATGATCAAACAATGTAAAAATTTGATGCTTTTTCATTTTTAATTGGAATGTATTTGACTATGATTTAGATACATTTGATCATGATTGTAAAAATGAATTAACTCAAGCTTTAAAGAGCTACTTGAGTATACTTGAAATGGTAACCTATTCATCGAGAATATTCAATATAATCTATATGAAATTAAGTCGCCGACATCGACAAGTGACAAAGAAAACAATTGAACGGTAGCTAAATCGTATGATTGATAATGAATTAGATCAATCTGAAGAATCAGGAATACAACGAGAAAGAATATCCTTAATAGCTTCATTTGTTGCTTCATTACAAAAAGATGAACACATTGAAGCTAAAAAAAAATGAACAAGAAAAAACTGGTGAGAAATTTATAACATCAATGGTTCAATATTATAATGATCCAATGTATGTTCTTATCTATGTAATATTATATTTTGTTCTGCTTTTAATGGAAAATAGGTTTATCAAGAAATGATGTATTACATAATATTCTCAAGTACAACAGAAGATTAAACTCGAATTTAAGAATAAAAATACTCAATGAGATTTATCTATAGAAAAACTTGATTCACTCATCTATCTCGATTGTGTTATTAAAGAAGTACTTTGTTATTCTCCTCCATTTACTGAAACCTATCGTACATTAACAACTGATAATTATTTACCAACAAGTGAAGCTAAATTATTCAAAGATGATCAAATATTTATTACAATTTATAATCTTGCTATTGACACTGAATTATGGTCAATTGATCCAAATCAATTTTATCCCAAAAGATTTTTAGATTAAGATTGACAATATCATCTATATGTATGGATTCCATTTGGTACTGATCATTGACAATGTCTCGGACAAGATTTTGTTAAACTTGAAGTAAAACTAGTTGTAGTAAGATTAATGCAATATATCACATTTGGTGATAGTGGTCCGAATATAAATGTAGATAGACATTTAGCTAATATTACTATCAAATCTCGACATGTTGGAATGACTATTAGCTTTGATTGATGAGTCTAAAAAATTAGTTTCAATCATTTATCGATTATTTCTATATTAATTCTAAAAATAAAAAAATATACTTTATGAATAATATAAATGTTAAGGAATCTTTTCACTTTTTGTGATCCTATTCACATATAGATAAATACAAACAAATACAAGTATTTCACCATTAACTTGTTTTCAGATGAGTTTCATCAAATAAAAACTCGTGAAATCATTGCAAACTCTTATAAATCAAACACAATTGTTGTGCAAAGATGAACTTTAATTCACTTCTAACATGACACTGTAAATGTACGAAAATAGACAAGTATCAATATACTCTATCTATCGTTCATATTCTATACATTTAACTTAATCACTGTTTATTTCTTCTTTTAAGATCAGTATCTTGTTAAAATGTAAGACAAATTCATGTTAGCGATGTCCAAATCACAACCCGTGAGTTCGAATCTGAAACTATTAGCATATTATGTGAACAGATTAGCCTATCACACTATCCATTCCAAGATAGATCGAGATAAATTTTGTATATGTAATAGAAAACAAATTTATATTTATCTTTTGAAAATCTCCTTTTCTTTTATTATTGCTGGCCTCTTATGCCTATGCTTCATGAGATAAATCATATTTTGAATTTTTTCTGGAAAGAAAACGAATAATTGATGTGGAAAATAATTTAGATGATGGAATTCTATAAGAACAATTGTTTATGGCATGAGCACCCACTATAATAGCCTCATCTCCACACAGGTTTGTTGAATGAGAAGGAAACATATTTATTGTGTATATTAAATAATGAATTAGCCGGCGTTTTTTTTAGTCTTGTCACCGAATTTATTATTGTATTGTTAGTTATGATCGAAGTGACAATTTGTAAAACCACGGTCTTATCTAAATATAAAATATTCTGATAATGTTGGCTCTCTAGTGATGACTTATTCTGGAACTATCATGATTATAGTTCAATTTGAATTGTTGTGAAACTTTATAATACTGAATTTGTATTGAAAAATGATAAAACTCTTGTGCTCTTTGCAGTGAGATAAGTGTGCTTTTTTTTTATCTATCCATTAGGTAGATAAAATAACGAAAAAAAAAGAAGTATCGCCATGTTGAAAGTAAGCATTTTAGATATGATAAAAATATTGCTCTGTATTTTATTTCTAAACTACATCTCTGCCGAGATTAATTCCGATAAATTTAAAATTTTGATTACTGTACGTGAGTCGAAATCATTCATCAATGATATTGATGGTTTATCCTCGAATCACACACTTATTTATCTACTTTATACATACACTGAACCATATCAATTAGTAAAACTAAATACTTCAACATTGCATCCACTAGCACGTGCAATATTACCATTTCATTATAATGATACAACATTTCGACAAGATTTTTTTCTTTTGACATTTTCCGACGATCAACTGTTTGTGGGTTATGTAGAAGATCTAGGACGACCAGAAGCAGCAACATGGCTACAAGCCATCGATTTACGCTCGATGACAATCAACGACAATCTGAAGCAAGGATTTCCATTCAAACAATTTACTGGTTTCCCTTTGTTTCAAGCTATATCTAATCAACAAAAAATTATTGTTAATCTCTGGCAATGGTCTGTATTTTTAACTGTCAATCGTTTCTAACTGAAATAGTATACTAAACCGAAGCGAAATGTTTGTTTTTTTTTGTATGAGAATAAGATAAGAAAGAACTATGAGAACAAAGAAGAAAGCTAGAAATGAATAAATGTAAATAATCAATGTGCTCAACAGAAAAAGTATATTTTTTGAGAGAACAACAGTTAGGATTAGAAAAACTTTATTCAAGTAGGAATAAGTTTTGTAAAACAATAATATCAATCAAGTTTGCAAATTTTTTTCCTAGGGATTTGACTACAAAAAGCATAACAAAACCTCAAATCATTAATGGTCAATTACCTTCTACAGACCCATACGACAGTTGGCTTCTTCCTAGTATTTCTTCTCTAGATGAAACTCCTCAATTACTTCTGATGTACAATGAAAATATCCTATATACGCTTAATGTTAGTTCGTCATCGCAGTGGATAATCAACACACAACTATCGAATATTCAGTTAGATTTTTTGTCAAAATCATTCTCATTTCATATGGATGTTGTCAATGCAAGCACGATTGCTGTAGCTGATGATCAAATGAATATTTTCATTTATAATCTTTATAACCAACAGTTGTCAACGACGTTGAATTTACGAAAGATGTTTCCTGATTATCCACGCATGTCAGAACAGATAGCAAGTAATTTACGAGCTAATGATCAGTATGTCTATGTAACGAGTTCAACCAATGTTGAACCATTTGATCAACAATATTTATTTCGTATTCGTCTCAATGATACGATGAAAGGTGTTGATTTACTTTCATTCGCGGATGAAAACTATGGCTTAACAGAATTAGTCACATTCGCAGATACTGTTTATTCATTTGAGCGATTGTATGAAGCTGAAGATTATTTCAATATATACAAAATTGGAACACCTCGTAAAAATACCTATTAGTAGACACTTGATAACATACTAAGAACATAATTACTATTTAATTTTACATTTTCAATCTTATGTAGTTTGCTTTTCTACTGTTGATTAATAAAACTAAACACAATTGTGAATAATATGAATATAGTAGTAAAAACTGTAAATATCCTTTAAATACCTTGACATCCAAACTTCAATAAAGAGCATAGATTTGAAATCTTGAACTTAAAAATAGAAAATTTTATAAATTTGTAAAAAAAAATGTGTGAATCTATCTCAAATTGACATTAGGTGTGCAACAAACATTCATATGCGCAATAATATGCAGCGTTTATACAATCACCAATCGATGCATTCAACAAGCAATATGCTAAAAAGCCTAAATAGAAATATATTACGAAGAGAAAATAAATTGTTCTATATCTCTACCTCCAACAAACGCACCACCACATCCGATAGTATCGACGATCTTCGATGGTCATTTGATAGCAAATGTTTTTAGACCGTGGTCTATATAATGACCAAAGTAGAAAGTCGATTTATTAGTTAGTTTATCCATCTTACTCGATGCTAGAATAATTAAATGAGACGCACGAGTTACTATCATACATGTGTTGTTATTCTTTATTAAAATCTTTTGTAATTCTCTAGCTATGAATAATACATCATCATGTGTCTAAATTAGATTTTTTTGTCTTCTGTCGTTGAAAACAAACAGAGTAAATATTGCATACATACACTGTTTTTCAGTTGATTCTGAGAAAAACATTTTACTTCCTTTGAAAAAAGAAAAGGACAAATTTCATTGTTCAATCTGTATCATCCATCGTGATAAGAAAAAAATTATTCAAATCTCTTTACTGCATCCTACCTGTTCACTTCCGAATAGAAAATCTACAAGAGGTGATAACTGCATAAGAGGGTGTGGGGGTGTGGCTGTGGCTGTGAATGAATACCGAATCTGCACGCGCACCCCACACCCACACCCACCCACACTCACATTTCATCAAACACTGAGATTCACACTCTCGATTGAATATAATAAGCTTTCACATTTTCATATGTTTTTTTTCTAAGCTATTTCTCGATTATTTATTGATCGAGAACATGCTTAGAGATGAATCTATGATCACTAGAGGACTGTCTCAAGGCCGTCTAAGCGTGATCAAATGAACTCGAGATGGCTAAATCTCAAGATCTGATCGTCTTGCACTTTAATAATAGACATCACTAATTGGAATGAAACTTGGAATATGTTACTTATTTCGTTCTGCACAAAGAATGGCAAATACACTGTAGATTGAATTTTAATGACATTTTGAAAATGCGTCGCAACAAATACTTCGTGTCCCAGAGTGTAACGCATTTTATTTTGGTATACGCATACTCACATCTACATCCATCTACTTCGGTGATATTATTATTAAACAGTTTTAACGAATACAGATGAAGTAGAGAATTGAGTTAGATCATTGATTGGATGTCATCCTGAACTTAAGCTTTGTACTGAGATTCAAAAAATAAAGAAAAATATAAAAATTTTAATATTCAAAAATTTGGAAAGAAAACATTTGTTAAGATCTATAGCTGGAATGAAGGTGATTGTTTTCAGAAATGAGAGAAAAAACATAGATCAACTTCCAACAGGGAGAAAAGAAGCAGACATTTTTAAAGTTGAAAAAAAAATAAATAAAATTTTGAGATGAAGTAAGGACTGTTGAATTTTCATAAAAACAACAGAAAAATACATCAATTTTTTTCTATAGTATTTTTTTTTGCATAGCGATTCTCCCGATGGCAATATTTCATACATAAATAATTCATTATAATTTGCGTTAAAAAAAAAGTCTACAAAGGCTATCGCAGAATTCATATCATTAACGTAAATCCTTTGTTTAAAAAAAAAGAAACCTTTCAGTTTCTCTATACAAATATCAATTTCATCCATTCCTACCAAATTATTTGAGAGAATAGTTTGCATATCTATGAGGATTTATCAAAACATAAAATAACGAGAAAGATTAGTTTTTCTATCGAAGAAAAACAGATGGACTCGACATTTCAGAAATGAGTAGAATTGCAATTATCAAAATAGACCTCTTCGTTTCTACCGTAGTTATGTTACTATATTTTCTGTTTCTTCATGTGCAAATAGACAATAAAATTTGACTATTGATAAGTGAAGCCTCACAAATAATTACTTTTTGAATCTATCACCTACCAGCTATTGTACTTTGACACATCTATTTTATATTTCACTAAAAAATGAAGCAAGCATTATTATAATTTCTGACAATACTATGTTTAAAAAAAAACTGATCATGCCACGTAAAAAACCGAGAGGAAAAATTAGTGGAGTTAAAGTATGATTTTAAGCTTTTTCTCTTCTATACTCTAATGTTAATTGGAAAGTTAGGTCTCAACCATCAATCGATCTGCACTTACTTCATCAATGAACAATTTCAGTCATACAAACACATCGAATGTCCATAGAGTTGCACAACATCAAATGTTATCACATGCAAGTTTTTTCTCATTTTCTTATTCTTATAAGAAACTATTCCAATTCTTTTTTTTCATTACGCAGTCATTAGATCGTTTAGATCAATTTTTAACATTAAAAATTAACAATAAACGTCATACACGGCGAGCGATTCATCCAATGATAGATTCTCATGATACCACAGCAAGGCAATTTCCAACAGCAAAGAATGTAAGATAGTATGGCAATTAGATGACTGCATAATGTTAGTCATATAGCACTAATTACAAACTGAATGTTACTTTCAATTTGTTTTCAGACAAAGATTCAGTTACTTGATAAGAAGTTCTCGTTCTTATTTTCTTCCACAAGATGAATATTCATAGAAGAATTCGCTCAAAATGATTCTTAAAAAAGGAATTTCTAGTCATACCAATTAAGAAAACATCAGATTTCAAAAAAAAAA